ATGAACTTTCAACTACAAAAGTTGAAGGGAACCGCTTCTGTTGAATCCTTCGCAAAGCAAGTGGTGACGTGCGGGCCTGTTTGAGATCATCAGTTTGCCTGGTCCTTTCTTCGAGAAGCGAGCTTGGTATATTGTAAGCCTTTCCTGGAGAAACTGACGGGCAACCCCCTCTAAGACTGGACACATCAAATGACAACCTAATTAATGGTTGGGGAGTCCTTTGTTTCCAGATTATATATGCATTGCCAAATGATTGGCCTTACTTAATCTCACTTCACCTGAGCTTATTTAGCTTCAAGTTCAGATTCACTCATGCGCAACAAGGCTTGAGCGCCCATGGCGATCTCCTCATCCCACCATATCCCACCATGTCCCACCCTTCCAACCAGATCAATCGACCTGAGAGGGTGTCCCTTCTCCAACAAGAGCCGGGAGGAGTTTTGAAGACTCTCACGGGCGCTCTGCTGCACCTTGCGATTCGCTACGTGAGCACCCTGACTGAGGGGCGCGTACGGAGGGCCCGGAGGGATGGGGATAGTTCGGCAGCGGTTAGCTGGCGGTTCACCCTACTAGAGTCTAGTCTTGCTGCATCGGCTTCACCTCGAGTTCAGGTTGATGGAGTGGACTGGCCTACTTCCCGCATAGCCATGCATCTAAGCTTGAGAGCATCACTGATCACCAACACAAGTCTGGAAGACACACACCAATAAGTTCGCCTTGATTACGCAGCAAAACGTATCGGCTGGTTCGGCCCATTTCCCGCTTTTGAGCCGCACAAAGCTGCCCAACCTTTTGTTTTTCAACTGGAAAGCACGCAACCATGCTAATCGAAGGCGCATCCAATTGGAATCATCTCAGACCTTGCAAAACTCCAAAGTATGGTTTACCATGTCTCAATCGCTGATTGTTCAACTTCAAACTGACACGATCGCGAAAGCATCAAACAAAACTGACAGACCCAACTGTGGATCTGTCAGATGGTCAAAGGTCTGAAGGAAAAACACGAGAAGCACCATCCAGCTGATCTTCAGGTGAAGGAACTAGGATATCTTCGACAAGAAGTTCTGTTCTGCAAACACTTTGTATGTCTTGGATCAGCAGCAGCTGACTTCTTTTTTGTGAGCCATTGACTTTGTCATTGGCTCGTGCTCTCGCCATGAGGCTTTCTTGGACTGCAAGACGAGGTGATGAATGGGTCCAAACGGGAAGGTTCATGAAGTGGTTATTAGCCTGAATCTTTTGGACGTCGCCGCACTTAGAAGGGTATCTGTCAGGACCCCCGCATCACCGCGCCTGTGACACTCCTTAAATGCCCATGGAGCAGAGAGCGATGCTTTTACATGTTGTATTGGAGGCATGTACCAGCTTGTCTCTTTCCCTGTGAGTTTGTGGGTTGACTCTTAGCGGCAATACCTCAAAAAATGAAAATATGGATGGTCCTTTCCCTTGAGGCGGACCAACCACGAGAGGCGAGTCCTTCGACTGGTTTCTCCATCAATTCGATGTCCAAACGGTACCCGAACAACAGGCTGACCTCCAGGACTCCACAAGGTAGCAATTGATTGCAGTAGGCTACTCTCTTGGGAAGTTTGACCGGGAGTCACGGTGACAGTAGCAGCAGCAGCAGTAGCAGCACCACGGCCAGCATCTACCAACCGTTTCAATAGCTTTGAGGGGAAGTGACAAACTCGCTGAAAGAACAACACAAACACAAACTACATCAAACTGCTATTTTAGGCGCAAACTTTGGCTTCCGAATCTTCTCAATGATGGATTTTGTCGACAAAAGGCTAACTTGCTATGGCTATGACAAACTCCGTGCTAATCGCACCACAAACCTGACTTTGGTGAGAGACACCCTCAAACCTAAAACCCAAACTCCAAAATTCTCAATGATTGATAGTCCGCTGGTTCGCCTGGGCGGTCTGTAGATGCTAGTATGAGGAGTGGTAGTAGTAGCAGCTGTTGTTAGTAGTAGTTATATATAGGAGTAGGCAGGTGACCTTTTCGTTTAAGGCATTTTCAGGTTTTGGTTGGTTCGGCAGGTTCATTGTTGCACATGTACACGTCACGTTGACTTGCAGTGATCAGCTTGCATGCGCCATGCCAGTGATGGGATTGGGGGTGGGGATGCTGGCCTTCCTTGCACATGCACACGTCACCTGTTCGCTACGTTGACAATTCTGATTTTCAATCTTTTTGGATGGGTCTGTGTTTTTTTTTTTGCCACGGCGCCTCAATAAGTTCAGAGTTTAGTTTCCTTGACAGTTCAGCTTGTGGTCCGTTCGTCGGCTGTTGGAAAGGACAAAAACATCGAACATCGATTCAAGCTTGATGTCAACGTGTCTTGACGGACAGATATCCGATGCTTCAAGGAAGTGCACTAGGTGTGGAATAGTTGAACTCGTTGACAAACAGAGAGTGGGTGCGTTGCTGTTACGAAACGAGCATATAATATTCCGATTTTGCAATCATGGATGTTTGCCCATTCCTTTCTGAAAAGATGCTTCTTGCATCTTCTTGCTGTACTTGAAAAACATATTGAAAAAAAGACTCCCAACGGCGGCCAAAAGGGTCGCCAACCTAGTAGTATGACGAGTAGTAGTAGTAGTAGTAGTAGTAGTAGTAGTAGCAGTAGTAGTAGTAGTAGTAGTCGTAGTCGTACTCGTAGTGGTAGTAGTCGTAGTCGTAGTCGTAGTCGTAGTAGAAGTAGTAGTAGTAGTCGTAGTCGTAGAAGTAGTAGTAGTAGTAGTAGTAGTAGAAGTAGTAGTTGTAGTTGTAGTAGTAGTAGTAGTAATAATAGTAGTAGTAAGTAGTAAGTAGTAAGTAGTAAGTAGTAAGTAGTAGTAAGTAGTAGTAAGTAGTAGTAAGTAGTAGAAAGTAGTAGTAAGTAGTAGTACGTAGTACTAAGTAGTACTAAGTAGTAAGTAGTAGTAACTAGTAGTAAGTAGTAATAAGTAGTAGTACGTAGTACTAAGTAGTACGTAGTACTAAGTAGTAGTAGTAGTAGTAGTAGTAGTAGTAGTAGTAAGTAGTAGTATATAGGTAGTAGCATGTAAGTAGTAGCAAGTAGCAGTAGTAGCAAGTAGCAGTAGTAGGTGGTAGTAGTAAGTAGTAGTAGGTAGTAGTAGTAGTAGCAGGTGGTAGTAGTAAGTAGTAGTAGTAGTAGTAGTAAGTAGTAGTGAGTAGTAGTGAGTAGTAGTAGGTAGTAGTAGCAAGTAGTAGTAGTAGCAAGTAGTAGTAAGTAGTAAGTAGTAAGTAGTAAGTAGTAAGTAGTAAGTAG